ACATCGTATTGATTTACTAACGGCTACCATCGCTGGATGGTAACTGTTCAAGATTTCATGCTACCATCGCTGGATGGTAACTTTTCAAGCTTTCATGATACCGTTAATATGTTTGTATGTAAATATCTGCTTTACTTTTGCGTCGAAGAATGCAGTTGTATAAAACAAATAAAAAGTTTAAAAAAATAACGAAAGAGGCGTTGCGATTGTGATAGTGATTTGTGATACACGCTGTGTGACTGTACGTGGTGTGCGCTTGACGTCGAATAGATGCGCACACCCTACCAAACGAGACAAGGCGTCGGGTAGCGTAGCATAACATTGCATCGGGTGTTCCCCGCTTTAATCCGGGTCTGTATTATACTGCGCTCTTTAAGGGCTGATTATACTCCGTTCTGTGTTTAAAGCACTCCGGTCAGTCCTAGTTCATCATTTCATTAGTAGGCCCGGTTTCAGTGGTTGGATTCCTTCTAGGTTACGTTGTATATCCCAAAATACTTCCTCCTGCGGGCAAGTGTAGCACCACTGTTTATTGATAGGTGTGTTGGTGTTTGCAGAATCGGCACGTACCGTGTTGGGTTATGCTAATCTTTTTCAGATGTCCATTTAGTTTGCAGTCCCGTTAAAAATCCTGTAAAAATTCGCAGTTTTTTCCTGCTTCCTTTAATACGTTCTGTTACTTCTTTCCTTCTACGTTTGTAAGAAGGATTTTGAATTGTTCATGTCTAATGATTGAGTTCCATTGTTCCCTCATTTTTCTTCTTCTCGATCTTCTTAATCCTTCTGTCTGAGATGTTCATTGTTAGAGTGTATCCTATCAGCTGTTTCTCGTTGCCTTCTACTCCCACATGTCCTGGAACCCAACTTTATTTGCATATCTAATTTGTTTAGTTTGGTTTTGCAATTGAGCACCGTCTTTGAGCTAATGGTGTTTGAACTTGATGCTTTCATGGCTGCTTGGCAATCTGACATGATGACGTTGTGTAACTTTTTAGGAAACAATAATTTTAAAAATCCCCGTTTTTTCTTACAACCTATAACTCACCCCAATCCAAGAAATACATCCAAATCAATTTTTCAAGTTTTTTTAAAATTCAATCAAAACTGATTATACGCAAACAAAAAGTAAATAATTGTAAAATAAAGCTAAAGTAAATTCTGAGATCCAGTTTATAATATTTATTTTTGTTTTGTTTTAAATTTTTTATTATGCTGTATTCAAAATTATTTCATCACAGGACGGATTGCTACAAACTGGAACACGTTTTTCACACTTTTAGCGGAGAACAGTTTTATATTTAACACAATCTCCCATTATTTACGGCTTATAACCTAAATTTAAATAAAAATCAGTTAAGTTTTAATTTATAGTGTAACTGGTTAAAAGAGGAGAAAATATAAATATAATATAAATTTAAATGAATAAAATATGAAAATTTCAATTGTGTTAATTGTTTTAACCCTAACTTTAACTGAATCGATTAATTTGTGCTGATTTTTTTAAAACCTAGATTTAAAAAACAACTATCAGTTACACGATAAATTGAAATAATCGAGTACTGAAGAAAAACTTCAATGTCTCCAGAATGATTCATTAAATTTTTGCGTTGATGATACATCTTTTTAGAATGGAAAGAAATTTCTACATGGGCGAAAAAAATATGGTATTATATATGAAAAAGAAAATTGATCACCAAGGTCGGCTTAACGCGCCAACTTATTAAAATTCTAATAGCGCCAGCAGATTTTTGGTGAAAAATTAACTTTGGAACAATATTTAGTTTTTAAATAAAATAGGCAACGTAAAAATAAAAGGTCATGTCTTTTACCGAAGTTCACATGGTAGATATATTTCCATAGTGATAAGAATAATATACGAATAATGAAGAGAATGATGATAGATCGTAATTTACAGCCGCTTAATTCATTAGTTTTTCATGATCAGCCAGCCATTATGGTTTAGCATAATGGTACAGCCATGAAACTGACGATAATTAACTACCTAAATTTTTCCTTATTATCTCCATCTCTCTCTCTCACTCTCTCTCTCTCACACACACACACACACACACACTATATATATNGACTGCCAGTCCCTTCGCATTCGCATGGCATCAAACCTTAGGTCCTCTCTTTCTGTTACTGTCCGCCAGGGAGAATCGTAGGTGATCTCAACTGATAATCATGAGGTTACGTCACTGTGATTACAACACGGCCTTCCTGATGACATCGTCGTCCTCGACGCCAACAGCTGAAAGCGAAAACAAAGACAAAACTTTTTTAACTATTTATCATTTTCTCCCTCACTATGACTGACACTTAGTGATGGACCATTTTCTGCCGCATCAGGCGCACGACGAATACGATCGTGTGCATACTTGTAGGATCTACGTATCTATCATTTGGCAGAATCCTTGAAATCTTGAAAGGCCCTTTATATTTGGGATCCAGCTTCGACTGATTTCGCTCTTCGTTTTTCAGGAGAGCTAAATCACCAACAGCTAATGGGAGAACCCTGACTTTACATTTGTCAAATCTGGCTTTACTATATTCTACACTTTTCTCCATTTCACGACTAGCCTGTGTTCTAACTTGTTCTAACTGTACATCTAAAACACCTGTAACATCCTCTCCTGCGATAACGAGATCTCTGGGTCGTGATACTCGACCAAATATTAACTCCATAGGGGAACATTTAGTAACACGATGAATGGCACTATTAATGGCTAATTGAACATCACCGACTACTTGTTGCCAAGTCTTTCCCTCGTCTGATTCTGCAACAGTTAGCATATCCTTCAAGACTCTCATCTGACGCTCAATTGTCCATTCGCTCGATTAGTTCCAGTTGCAATGAAATGTAACTCAATCTGGGCCTGGGCACAAAAATCCTTGAAATCCTTGCTGGCAAAATCTCTGCCTTAATCAACTACCAAAAGTATAGGGGGTCTAAACAAGTTAATAGCATTTGTTAACGCTCTAACAGCGTTAGCAGCATCGAGTTTTGTAGTATTCATGAGTAGAGTAAACTTTGTAAATGCGTCCATTCTTTCCACTAAGATCGTTAAGACAGCATTTTAGGATAAGGTAGTAGGTTGCTGGTAGGTTATTAATGCACTATTTTCAGCAAAACCTTGTAATAAATTGTTATGTAAATTTTATGAGCACAACCATGTAATACATTGTTAGCTAAATTTAATTGTTTTAATACATTGTTAGTTATTTTCGTATTTCGATAAATTTTCAGCCTAACCATCATAATTAAACAATTCTTATAAAAACTTATAAATTTTTGATCTCGTTTAATTGGGTTTACATTAAAATAACAATGTTGTAATTAATATAACGACAAAATTACATATACGTAGTTCGAAATAAACTACAAAAATATGAGTGTCCGGTTCTGACACTACTCGTCATTTTACGAGCAAAACCATGTAATAAATTGTTAGTTAAATTTTATGAGCGAATTCGTGTAATAAATTGTTAGTTAAATTTTATGAGCGAAATCGTGTAATAAATTGTTAGTAAAATTTTATGAGCAAATCCATGTAATAATTTGTTAGTTAATTCATTCTATCAATTATATTCCGTATTCTGGTGTTTATATCAATTTTCTCCCAAATCATTAAAATTACTATTTTTTAAATAAAAACTAATGAATTTTTGATCTCGCTTAATTTGGTTTATATTAAAATAAGTATGTTGTAATTAATATAACAACAGTAATACATATAGGTTGAAATAAAAATATGAGTGTCCGGTTCTTTTGTCTTCGACTATACTGGGTGCTACCCGACGAAAATGTGGACGTGGGGATCGCGTAGCTTTGAGTAGAGTAGTGTTACGTGTCATCGGGCAGATGTGCACGGGGGTAATACATTCTTATGGAAAATTTGACTTTGGATTTGCGTCAGACACCGATTCACAGACTGATTCTGTCTTGTCCGTCAGGAAACTGAATTTTCATTTCATGAACGCCTAAGGTATTCCTCAGAGAAGTATTGTTAGTCAATTTTTTTTTAATATACACTGCAGATATTTCTAGTTTCAACAAATACGTTTCTTGATGTTACAGCAATTCTTTGCAGCATGGTTTACAAAATGGAAAATGAAAACAAACCTATCTAAAAGCACGCAGATAAATTTTGCCTTGCGCAAAAGTATTTACGTCAGTGAACACAAGTGAAACCCCATGGGTTATCTTGGATTTTTCATGGGAAAAGGACTGAATTAGTATCCTCATACAAGACTAAAACGACAAGAACAAACGGACGTTATAAATTATTGAAACGGTGTGATGTTCAGTGACCGTTAGTCAATGATTATTCGGAGATCGTGAGATGCGGCCTGGTGTCACGTAGGTTTCAGAAAAACATTTTCTTTATCGTGCCAACATTTCGATCTTTAATGAGATCATCTTCAGGGCCTGGGATTTATAAACATTGTTTCAATTTTACAAATACATGTAGGATGTAAAAAAGATGAATTTATACAATGCTATATATTACGCAGGGTGGGCGACCAAGACCCGAGGGGTTAAATGCCTGGGTAGACTCGTACCCCATTCGTTATTATTATTTTTTTAAATCTAAAATTTTCTAGCATTGTATAAATTCATCTTTTTTTACATCCTACATGTAATTTTAAAATTTAAACCATGTTTATAAATCCCAGGCTCTGAAGATGATCTCAATAAAGATCGAAACGTTGGCACGATAAAGAGAATGTTTTTCTAAAACCTACGTGACACCAGGCCGCATCTCACGATCTCCGAATAATTACTGAAAAGATTATACAACTCACGATCAAATTGACTCATTAAAAAATTTAATGTACGAGAAAAAGTTTCTTTTCAATTCAAGAGACTTTGCAGATAATCGTATCAAAATGAGGCCCAGTAGGACGAGAAATTGAAGCTCGATGAGAAAAGAAACTGAAAAAAGGCTGTGCTTGAATTTAATATTTATTAAAACATAAAACATTAAAATACACCAAGGTTTTTTCAAACATACGATACAGGATAATTTGTTATACAATCACAGATTTTAAAATGAGACAGGAATGAAATAATAAACACCAAATGTCACTTCTTACCTGTGTCGTTATAATATATTCATAAACATATTTATAACACGCATTTCACACTGTCTAGTTAGGGTAAGAAGAATATTGTATAATTTGTCAAAGTGGGAGTTTAATTGGATCGAGAGGATCCTGTGATAATGGGTGGATTCAGGCATAATTGACCTTCCAGCCTCCAAGGGGGGTGTGATTATTTCAGGACGGGTAAACGAGTAAAGTGACGCAAAGTAGAATTAAAATTTCTAAATGACACACATTTTCTTTTAAGAGACAATTATCTATTCTCGTTATGTTATCGAGTAACCACGGCCCACCACGTGTTTGCACGTAACGATCTCCATTTGTGCTATTGCCACACGGCAATACTGCGGCTCCGTGCAATTGGAATGGAGACGAAGAAAATTCAATTTTCTCGTTGAAAACTCAATGTTTTCTTTTTTGTTTTTAAAATTTTTTTAGTCCAAGTCGAAATTCGAAGTGACGCTTAGGGGTATAACGTCCGTCCTATGGGGGTAGCGCCCGCTGTACGAACTTAACCTTAGAGTGTTTTCGTGCCTGGGAGAAGACTGGTTACAGCTGAAAGTCCGTCTGAATTCCTTTCTGAACTTACCTGAAAACAGATTAATAAAACGATAAAATTTCGTACGACATGTAATGGCATAAAAATAATATAAAGACAAACAAATTCTCTTTTTGTGTCATTGATTTTTTATTACTAACTATACAAATTTAATGATATATAATTCGTATATACCATTAAATCTTATATACCATGTATATAATTTGAGCAACTGATTACTTTCAAAGTTGACTTTAACCTTTAATGCCGAAACATAAACGAAGATGTATTCAACAAACTTAACTTAATTTTATTATCCTTGAAATTGTTCAAGTAACCATGTTTTGTATAGAGGTTGAATAAATTTAAAACTTGTTTGTAAATTGTTCATTGAAGTAAAGCGTTTTAAATATATTTTTAAAATCAATTGCGCAAAACTATTATTTTGTGAATCAAAATTCCATCGATTACATTATGAATCTGTGGATAATGCTAAACCGATTTACGAAAAAAAGAGAAATTTTGAAAATAATGGAATCAAAATGAGGCCCATAACGACAAGCAATTGAAGCACGATGTAAAATAAAAAAGGCTATACTAGAATTAAATATTTATTAAACATATAACATTTGTCATACGATATCAGACAATTATTTTAAACAATGAATAACAAGTTTCGTAGCCTGGTCGTTTCCGAACAGAACATAGGAAACAGCAAATTAACACTATACGTGGGGTTAGAAAGAAAAACATTAGCTTAGGAAATTTTTTAAAATTACCTTTCTACCTACTCTCATACTGGTTTATGTTTATTGTATACATGCTAGCTTATTAATCCTTATTTTATTGCACTTATTACTAACGATCAGTTAAATAAGTAGCCTGGTCATCTCGGATCGTTTTTTGGTACGATTCTTACGTACGATTCTTTTTGGTTTTCTTTGTGTGTGAATAGTATCCGTTTAATATCTAATTCTGAGCTGTCGTGTTGCTTTTATACGTTTTTTTGTCGGTTTGTTAATTCGGCCAAGGTTGTAGCACTTCTATTAAGAATATTTTATTGTTTGTAAATTTATTTTTTAATGATAGTGTTGCTGATTTCTGTTCGTCATGAGTTAAGTGCTGATATTTTGTCTTTACATGAGTAATTGAGTCAATTTTAAAAATGGCACGGTTGGAGGAGGATAAAAAATTCCACAACTCTACATTCAAACTTTATAAAATCTGTGCCACGTCGAATGCAAACAATGATCAACGCAAGAGGAGGAAATACACCGTACTGAATTGAATGTTTTCTTCATTGTTTCCACAGCAACATTTTTGGTAAAATTGTTTTACTGAGTTTAATTTTTTACTTAGCTGTATCTTATATTTTTTTAAAAATATCCACTAAACAAAAAAAAAAGAAAAGAAAATTATAACGATTGCATGTTTTTATTGGAAAAATTAGCGTGGCCACTTTTTTTGCCTCTCAGTGTGTTAGGGTTTGAAATAGATTAGCTTAGGCTAGGAGGATTAGGTTAACGCTAAGTAGGGGTTTTTCTTGCTCTTTTTAATTTCTTTGAAGACTCAGTCCCAACATTGCCAAGGATTGTAACAGTGATGTTTTTCAATTTGAAATCATCTGTGAAAAACCTAATTATGTCAATCTGTAGACATATTTAAGATTGTTTTGCCCTGATGAAGACCTTAAATTCGGCTGAAAACTCAAATTTTTCAAAAAGTTGAAGAGGAGAAAATATGCAAGTGCGAAACGCGAAGTTTTTAATGGTTAATTACAATTGTTACGCCGCCGTTGCGTTCTGTTTCTATCGTTCAGATTCGAACAAAATAGTTTGTACTCTCAATATATGGAAAGTTACATGGTACAAAACATATCTTCGATTCAATGTTTATCCTGGATTTTGTTAACAAACGAATAATATTTTGCTACGCCTCTACTCGATGTAAAAAGTACGAAAATAAGGAACTTGGTAACAAGGCGCTAGAATAAATTAAAATCCCGCATGATTGGTCGGTCGTGCAGGTTTAACATAGCAGAGCGCCGTACTGGCTATAAATCCACGTTTATTTTTCTTTCTCTCTTCTCTCACTCTCTCTCTCTCTCTTTCTATCTTTTTCTCTCACTCTGTGTGTCTCTCTAGGTAACACACACCACACACAAACGTATACCGTGTTTCATTTTTCTTCGCAGCAGCAAAATACACCCTGTTGCGTTAATTATTGATAAGGCCTAACAAAGTATGTAGAGGTTCCATTTGCCAGTGCAACGTAAAACAAGAGAGACCTGTTACATTATTTGTATTTTGTCATTTTTCGTAATGGTGGATTAAATACTATTATAAAGTCACGTTTAACGAAAATTAAAACAAAAATAATGCTAATTTACTGTTTTCAACTGAGAGTTAATCTACTTTTAAGTTCCGTGAACTGTTACGTAAGTGAAATTGGACTATCTGGTAGGCACAGTGGCTGATTAGTTAATTTAAAGGAGGTGTTCGAACGAACAAATTTCATCCTGCGCTAAACCGAAAACCCAGCCGATCATAAAATGGTCCCGGGACTTTGTAAGTTTATCTGGGAGTTATTGTTCCACGTCCATTTGTATAGCAACGTTGAGTTAACCTTCAGGAGTGCTATAAATGAAACTGGTAAGACCGAGATGGAGGGAGGGAGGGTGGGAGGGAGAGAGAGAGAGAGAGAGAGAGTGAGAGAAAGAGAGAGAGAGAGAGAGAGAGAGATATGAATGGATGGTTTATTAACCAGAAGCTTACATAGGCCCTCTCTTACCGAAGCCAAAAAACTTAACATTTATTTCTATTCAGCTCTAATAGCTAATTATAACAATTTACTGTAATTATAATTTTAACTTTTTACAAGGTTAAATTCAATAGTTTCGTGGTCCGCTTGACCAATTAATATCTTACAATTAATTAAGGTTTTCAGTTGAGATAAAAAAGTCAATGGCACGAGCAGGATTCGAACCCACGATGAAGTATATTTCACTAAAGCTCTCCGTGGCCATTTCATTTGTCGCCGAGAATCAAATTGATTACACGATTTTGAAAAATATGGCAAATTGGAGGGAAAATTCAAAAGGTGTGGTTGAGATGGGAGGTTGGTGTCAGAGTCGATCTAGGTCACGATAGCTCAAGTATTAGAGCAGCGGCGTATCAAGCCGAAGATCGTGGATTCGAATCCCGCTCGTGTCATTGACTTTTTTATGTCAACTGAAAACCTTAATTAATTGTACGGTTTTACAAGGTATTGAACGCCTATTACATTACGGACGCTAATTAAGGCTTAAATCAACAAAAATAATTGAATGTACACTAGTAATAATTAACAAAAAAATAATATATAGTGATGTTAATAATTAATATATACCATATTTAATAATAAATAATATCAACACAATAATACATAATTTATTACAGTTCTATTCCTAAAATAATACAGTATAGTATATAAAACCCAAGGATATTGATTTACATTTTTATCTATTATTGCATTTTGTCAGTAACTCTTTTTTAATACAGACATCTTTTTAAAAAGGTAGTAAATTGTATAGCTTGTTTTCATTATAATTATTGATTGTTTTTACTAGAAAAAAATGCATGGTAGAAAGCAATTCTAATTTTACGCAATATAAATTTATGTTTATCAAATCTAGTATGCTTTCAAGGATAGACTTATGCAATTTGAAGTTATTAGTCAGATATGAAGGTTTTTGTCTTTTAATAGATTTACTAAGAACATCGAGAGTATTTATTAGAGCTTTTCTTTCTTTGATTTTTAAAATTTTTGCGTTTGCATAATATGGTGTAACATGATCATAGTATTCGAGGTTGTACACATATCTTACACAAGCAATTTGTAGTCTTTGTAGGTTTTTATATTTTTTTTACTTATATTAGAATTAGCAAAGGCAAGCATATTAGAAACAACGTAGATTTTATAATTTGTAATTTTACCTCAGGCGGAAGATCAATTTTGATTTTTTTAAGGTGACAAAGGCTTTGGAAGGTTTTTTTACAAATGTCGATGGTTTGTTCTGAACAAGACATCGATTTGAGACAATATTCTTTAATGATTTTGACAGCAATATTTTGTGATTAGGCTATTTTACCTTTTTAACCTTTATATCGTTCAAATTTGTTAAATGTCCTATCAGCATTGGCTGACATTTATCATAGTTTATTGCTACCCTATGTTGTACACACGATCTGTTTAGTTCTTTAAATTATTATTACTCTTTTCAACCATTAGATGTCTTCTTTGTTATCTGAACAATATGCTTGAAGATCGTCTGCGAACATCACGCTCTTGACATTTTTAAAATATAGATAACAACCTTTCCATCGACATCCTTAACACATTGTTACCTGTTTATCAAGCCCATTGAAAAGCATTTAACAGACCATCACAGAAATGTAATGACTTAAGGATTGCCAATAATATACTATGCTGCACAGAGTCAAAGGCCTTCGTGAAGTCGATTAAGACTAAAAGTGAGACCAATTTCTCATCTATATTTTTTCTCAAATCATCCACAACCTTTAACAATGCAGCCTCCGTACTGTAACCCGATTAAATCCAGATTGGTATTCATAAAGGATATTGTTTCTATTAATATGCTGTTATAATTGTCCAATTATAATTTTTTCAAATACTTTTGCCATGACACATAATATTAATTTATCTATAATCATTACAACTGATAGGATTATTTTTCTTTTTTATCGGAATTATAATAGTTTTTTCAATACATCTGGGTAGGTATTACTACTAATAGAAAACATAAATATATGAAACAAAATTGGTGCAATAATAACTTTAAGTAAATGCTCACTTTTTATGGGCACAATGTCGACACCAGCCGCATTTGACCTAATACTTTTCAATGAATCTATGACTTCATCTATTTTTATTTTCGTTAGATTCCTTTCTATTCTGGAAATTCTGCAAGATTCCATTCTCTTCCAAATTCATTAAAATATTCCCGATCGATTTCAATATTTGCCCCAGTAATGTGTTTGTTCCATTCATAA